TGGACCGTTGTGAGACCTCTAGCGTCATTACACTTAGGATTTGCTTGCACAAAAAGAATTTAGCATGGTCTCTCATTGATAAAATTATAAGCTTCGCTGTTTCTCACAGTGTTCAGGAGCTTGATTTGTCTTTGAAAAATGCTACAGGTGACATGCAAAGTGTTTTCAGGTGTCAATCTTTAAGGGTTCTCAGACTAGATTTAATTTGTCACCTTACATTACCAAACTCAATCAGTTTGGCATCATTGAAGACTTTGATTCTTTGCAAAGTTAACCTAAAGAGTGAAAACCACTGCTTTGATCTCTTTTCAAGCTGCTTGGATTTGCAGAATCTTGTTTTGGATCGTGTTTTTTTAACCATCTGGGACATCTTCAATATATCAGCTCCTGCCCTAGTCAATTTGACCATATCTAATAGTTTTTTTTATGTTGCAAAGGATGCCAACATAATGAATTATGCTTCCACAGAATATCCGAAGGTTGTGATTACTGCTCCCAGATTGACCTCCTTCAGCTTCACACAGTACAAACCAGTGTCGTTGTCCATGGATAATTCTCCCCTTCTTGAAAATGTAAACCTTAGCATGTTTAATCATGACTTACCGTATGCTCAAGACCGTTCCTTTATGTTCCTGATTGATATGTTGCGGCAGCTTGGTAATGCAAGGTCACTTACTGTATCATTAGGTTTAGTTAAGGTATGGATGGAATCGTATTTGGCATGCCTAATATCCAATAATTTTCAATTTCTTAAAAGCTAGTTATTTGTTCTGTTTTCCCATAGCCAGAATTTAAAACTGTCTGTTGTACTTTGAAGTTTCTCTCACACCATTCCAGATTGCTTGAAGAACAACCATTTCCCTTTTCAAAACTGGAGTCATTGAAAGTAGTGAAAGGACGACAGAGTCGCAAGAAAATTCCTCCAAGCGTGCTGAAGTTTTTGGTTCAGGGCTCTCCCATGGCTGAGGAGCTTCTCGCGAGGTTCCAGAAGGTATGTAAAACTGAGAAGTGCTTAACTTCTATCTGCCCTGTAGTGTTAATTGCATTCCTTTTTAACTCCCAAGTCGTGATATTTTGCAAGCTGAAAAGTGCTTAAATGCCATTTCTCCATTTTTTTCTTTTCTTTCCTTTTATGTTTGTTGTAGCGGAAAAGAAGAATGTGTAAGCAGCCTATGGATGATTGACCAAATGTATGATCAAGTAGGACGACATGATGTGGCCTCGTTTTGTCTTCTGCTCCAA